GGTGAAGTGTTGTATCATCATTATAACTCTTAAGTGATCGTTGTTAGTTAGAGAAACTCCCACATCAGTAGTTTCATGGTTCCTTAAAAGGCTCTGCTTAATATGAATGGGGGTATGGGACTTCATTCATGCATTGCACAAGTAGACTTTGAGAGGAAACATGGTATGTCTTTTATGATAAATTCTATTACCTTATTATGTAAGTAAAGTTGAGTTTGTTATTGCATTTTCTTTAACGAACTAAGTTGCTTTAATTGTTTTATAAAGCTATCCATGTATTGCATTTTTTACTATTTCATTATCATTGAGTATCATGAGCTGAGTGTTTCAAGTCGAGCATCATATCTTTGAGTTGAGTATCTAATCTCTCAGTTAAAAATTTCATCCTTGAGTACTTTTGAGTTGCGTAAGTCTGAGTACTTTTGAGTACTCCTTAAGTTGAGTAAGTTTGAAAATAAGAAATGTTTCCATATTTACCAAGTTCAAGTTTATGTTATGTATTAGAATTCCCCTTATATGCTCGTACATTCCACGTACTGATCCATTTGGCCTACATCGTCTCATGATGTAGACACAGATATTCAGGATCTTCAACAGAAGCTTCATTGATCCATCTGAGAGTTCGATTTAGGTATGGTGAGCCCCTTTGCTTCTGGAGTAATCATTTACTTTTCAGTTTAGTCAGGGTATCGTGGCTCTTGTCCGACTTTCATCTTTATCTGTTGAGGCTTCATAGATATTCAGTATAGTTGAGAAGTCTGTATTATTCATTTATTTTGTAAATGCTTTAAAGATTAAAGTTTTCTTTTTATGGTGGGTTGTATATATTTTACTGTACAAAGTTTTCGTTGGACTTAAAGTTTATATTTATGTTTTATTAACTTTTATTTAATTTTTAAGCTTTTGCATGCTTAAGTTAGTCTTCTGCTTGTAGCCAGCTAGGAAGAGAGTTTGCTTTGGGAACAACAATGGTTCTTGAGTGTCATCCACGTATAGGGTGTAGACTGGGGTCGTGACAAACTTGGTATAAAAGCACAGAGTTCAAGTGTCCCATGATGTCTATGAATCCATGTCATGTAGGATCTTAATTATGTTTGTGAGGGCCCCACTTTTATAAATGAGGGACTACAGACATTTAAGAAAATTTTCCCTTATATAATACTCATAATCGTGCTATATAGCTAAGTCATAGAGATCTATCCTAACCCGTACGATCTCATATTCATTTTACTACTCATCATACTAAAGGTGATTGAAATGTAAAGCTTAAAGATCTTTATGGATGAAATGTTCTTAAAAGAAGTCTTGAAAAAGTCAGAAGACTCTAGAGGGTGTTGAAAGAAGCCCTATAGAAGGTTAAGTGTTCAGTTTCAGATGAATTCACCCATATTCATATGAATCGTGCATTTGAGCTAAAATCGAGTTGTACTCTTTTCCTTAAGTTTTATTTTAGCTACGATCCTTTTAAATAAGTATGCTTGGGTAAGATTTTCACCCAAAAAGCGTAGCATGAGGTATGAGATCATGAGCAATAGTAGTGAAAGAGCCCAGAGTTAGAGGAAAGTATGCAAAGGATTAGTAATCTTAAAAAGGGAGATAGTGTTTTGAAGAGCTACATTATTATAGTCATGCACCCAGTCTATTATGAATGAGGAGTTTTAACTTATGTGATGAGTTATGAAGATTACATCATAGAAGGTAGAGTGTTTTACAGCTAGTAAGGAGTTGGTGATGAAGTGTCATTGTGTAGGAAATGACTAAGAGTAAATGGTGAATAGATAGCAAGAGTATTCATGAGGTGATAGCTCTAAGATAGGCTTATGATTTTGAGGGAGAGACCTTAATATTCAAAGTGTTATAAAACTAATTAGGCATTGATATATAGTGAATGAGTGAATAGTACCCGACTTGTGAAAGGAAATGTGATAGTAAATTGTAAGTATGAATTCTAAGAGATGACGATTGACTATTTGTCATATAGTCATATTGGATGAGTGTTTCTGCGTTTGTAAAGTAGGTGAGCAATCATATTGATATTTGGTTTTAGTTATGAACATTAAGCTTGAATTTGAGATGAGTTTCATGATTCAAAGAATGGTAACATGAGGGTGATGATGTTAGTCTTGACATTTGATCTAGAAAACTTGTCATAGAGTAGGTGAGAAATTGAGGTGATTAGTTACAATAGATATGAGTGATTCAATTGATAAACCCTAACCTTTAGATAAGGGAAGCAAACTGTGTCTAAGTCACAAAAATAGCAAGAGCATAAAAAAGTATACCAAGAGGCTATGTAATAAGAAAAGGTTAAGAGAAACCCCTTAGAAAGAGGTCTCACTACCTGATTATAGAGAGTTTGGTAGCCATGAGATTAACTTCTCCCAAGTGTTAGTGTAAAAGAGAAGGTAGACCAGTCTTAGATATGTGGAATAGGTCCATAACTTTCAAATGTTAGCTTTAGACCTAAGGGGAGTTGATACAATGAGAAATCAAGTCAAGTGTTTGAGCGTAGCGTAAGTAATGAGTTCCAAAGAGTTTGGGGGATATATATTTTTAAAGGTCGTTTTAGTAATGAAGTTGTTAGAGTACTATGCTTGAATGTAGTGGTAAAAAGTAGTAATCTTGGGATGAGATTTCCTATAGAGAGGTATAGAATCCAAACTAAGTATTTGGATAAAGCTTGAATATAGTAAGAGCATACCATTAGACGTAGACCTTAGTAAGAGTAACCCATTCCATACTCAATCCAATCGTCATTTGAGGACGAATGATCCCAAGGGGGAGATATTGTAACACCCCATAAAAAATTTTAACGAAGACTCAAACCGTTCTTCATAGTGAATGAGATTTTTGCAAGGAATTTAAAAATTCTTTAGTGCTGAGGTCACTAAATGTAGCACTTTAAGTTCCAAGAAGAACGAAAGAGAAAAGCATTTAAGTCATTACTATGTTTTTCTTAAGTTCGGGTCAACTTCAACTGGACATAACTTTTAGTACAGAATGAGTAAGGAGATCCAAAAGATATGAAATTAAATCGCTTCGAGTTCTCATGTCAACGTCACCGAGTTTGCTAAATCCGGAGCTGTCAGTAAAAGATTATGACTGGTTTACTAACATTGCACAAAACCTGGCAGCAGCTCCGCGATGGCTCTAAGACGCGGAGCCAATACAAACTTCACTGCCCGGTGAAAATGATTCCGACTCCCAGCTTGTTTTAATTAATTCTTTAGGGGTATTCTAGTCCTAAAAACCCTTAGAAAGTCATCTAGATTGCCCAAAACGTATAGAAAATCAGTTTTCACAAAATCAAACACTCTCATTCACTCCAAAGATTCTACGCTCAAGAAAATCAAGAAACGCTAAGGCTAAGTTTATCTTTCAAGATTTTCCTTCAAGTTCTTCAAGAAGATGATTCCTTCAGTTATATAAGCTTCCATAGTGTTGGGTTTGTTCACCCACACTGCAATCATGTTAAATTTCAGCTTTAAATTTGTTCTAAAAGTTGAAGCATTAATGTTCTTGTTATATATTCATGAATTTGCTTTCATTCTTGAATTTAGTTGAGATAGATGAGTTTCTGTAGGAAATTGATTCGATTCTAGATTTTTGTTTGATTAGATCCTTGAGTACATGTATTGGGTATCTAGATCTATAGAGAAATTGAGCAAAATAATCGAATTTAGGCAAATTGGGGTTAGAAAATGAGGAAGAAAAGTCAGACAAGGAACATGTAATAAGTCTGCGTTGCGGACCTGTTCCTTCAGCGTGTAATATTTCTCTCCGCATCGTAAGGAGGTCGCGAACTCCACTGTTTCAAAATTTATTTCGAGCAAACATTTTAAATAATCTCCGCTTCACGGACTTGCTCCCCGGATGGTGTTTTTCAACCGTTTATCTTGCTTAACTATCTGAAAACACTCCTAAACATCAAGGTATATTTTGTACCACAATCATAACCTTGAATTATTAATTCACATTCAAGGTAGAGCTAAGGGTTAATTTTTAAGAGTTCTTTTGCACATTATGGGAAAGTCCATGTGAATCATTTTGAGAAGTCTTCTACAATTTCTAGTAATTCGTTTCAAGACTCGAGCAAGTGAGTATGAGAGTGATGAGAAAGTATACATGAGTCTACTTCATTATCATGAGATCCTTCATATCATGAACCATAACTCTTTAATTCATAATTCACATTAAAGAGAAAGTTAAAAGTAGAATTCAAGAAATGTTTTAAGTTCAATTATTAACCCTTTGAGGTAAACTATCGATTTGAACTAAGTTTTGAGAAAGTAAGTAAGAGAAAGAGAAGTGTCGTATTCATGATTTCCATATTATTATGTAGACCATTATTCGAGTTGTGTCATTCCCATAGTTCCACATGAACTTCATAAGTTGAGCCTCTTTCAGAGAATTAGTATATTCAAGTTCTAAGTCTTGACTATTGAATTCCTTATTCCCTTTGAGATTATAATTCTAATCATGGGACTATTGCATGTTAATCAGAAAATCACAATGACACTTCATATTTATAATATTCAAATAAACTTGTATGTTATTCTTATATCTTTCATATATAAACTCAAAGACTTAATTTAAAAGAGATATTTTTTTAAAATATTGTGCCGATAGTTCAACTTATACGTGCAAGGCATGTGAGCAGAAACTATTTAAATAAAAACACAACAAGATTGTTATGTTTAACTATTCTCCAACTTTTATGTTTTCTCTTTTTTCAACACTAGGACATGAGCGTCAATAAACTTTATAAGATATCATTTTACGTCATCAAAATCAACGTTTTAAAATCATAATCTATAGAAATTATAATCTTCATCTCATCTTCATTGCAAATTACAGGGCTTCCTAGGTCCCATCATTGTCGTTAAAATGAACCATACAATAGAGAAAAATAAATACAAATGTTAGAGGTTGCACACAATATGTAAAGGCAAAATTGGTAGCATAAATTTATTAGAGTTTTACCTTACTTGAAAGATGAATTTAAAATTTAAAACAAATTAAGATTCATACGGATTGATATAGAGTTTCCTTCAAGAAAATAATCTAAAATCGCCTTAGAAGTAATTTGATTTAGAATATAAACATTTATAATACGACATGACCTGATTTTTTTTCACATCTAGAATGGCAAGTTTCTCAGTAATGCTCGTAGCTTCTTCCAAAGTCGAGTCAGACTTGTGCCCTTGAAAGCTTTGTGTGCCACTTTTCTTCATTATTCTGCACAAAATGAAATAATTGTGCAATCAATGAATTAATTATTTATCATAGAAAATATATTTTTCTACGTGAAATATCTAATTTAATTTCGTTATGCATAAAAAAAAGTACATAAACTTATACATGATTTGGTATATGTTAAGTGTGTATGCATTTTTCTCGTTGTTGCATTGTATTGTAGGTTAACAAAAATTGTGTCATAGAGGATAAGTACGTACTTTTCTAAAGGACTATTTATATAAAATAAAAAATCATATAAAAAATGATCACTGCAAGATTGTTACATGTGATGAGTTCAATAGCAGGTACTAATATATCATACAACTTTGTTACAAGAAGAGCTATCAATAATAATATTAAAAGTGGGAATGGCATGTTAAAAAAGGTTGTCTAGTGAAAGTACCCCTATTTTCTCAAACAAAATGATATGTGAACTTAAGTTTCTTCAATAGTAATAGTTAGTTGGATAGTGTAGTTTGTTATTACGGTCACTTATTCAATCATGACCAAAGAGAACGTTTTTACTCATTTTTGAGTCTTCCCTCATTTATAAGATGTGTTAAGAAGAATTATAAGTTGGACCACTAGATTTCTATCTTATGCTGGCATAACTCAGTTAGGCAAAAGTATCTTATTTGCCATACAAATATTCTAGTCAAAAGTTTTCTCACGACCTAAGAAGATCATACAAGTCATTTGATCTATTTGCAATAGGTTTTTATAAAATGAATATGTTGATGCCCCTAAAAAAGTATTGATTGCTTGGGAAAAATTATGTTTCCCCAAATCTATTGGAGGTGTGAACTTCCTAGAGGTATACAACAAAGTGGTTCTTGAAAATCTACTATGAAACTTATGCAACAAAAAAGAACAAATTGTGGATGGTATGGGTACATAATTATTACAGATGATCATATCATACTATACACTAGCCAAACCAAGAGATTACACGACCTAATATACATCCTTAAATATGATAGATAATGCGTTGGTTGTTTTTATGAAGCTTGAGCAATACGTGGGGTCAACTGTCCAAATCTGCTAGTTTTTTGTTGTAAAGTACTTTAAATACTAAATTTTATATATAAAAAGTACTTGTATGAACGATATATTGATACTAAATCATAACAATGAAAAGTGAAAATACATATCATTTGTTCATGGTTTGACAACAAATTAATAAATATAAAATCAAAAGATCTCAATTGGCAAGTCAAAGAGCAAGTGATGTATCATGTTCTTTAATTGATCATTTTGATGATAAACTTCGAATAATATAGGAAAAAATCATTTAAAATAAAATCAAATTGAAATTTAAAAAAAAAAGATTTACCTTGGGCCAGAATGGTCTTTCACGCAGTTCATTGAAATAAGTGGTTGTTTTCTTCACTAAATCAATCTCCTTCATAGTTTCCTTAATTTCTAACTTCAATTTATTTTCAATAGCAATACTCACGTATACAGGATTTTCATACCTGATCTTAGCCTGAACAAATAAGGTTTCAGCCATTTTTGCCTTTTTCACATTGTCAACAACAGAATTAAGCATTTGTATGATAGTGCTTACTTAGTAGAATCAAATAACTTTGTTGAACTCTTCAACTTCATTGGAAGGAAAATGGAGCTAATGGACAATTTTTCTCACATCGTTTTCTTTGGTACTTACATGTTGCACATTTACCCCTTGCAGTTGCGCGCATCATTCATCTTTGTCACAATTGTTAAAAAATTAGTCGAAAATAATTACTTAATAGAGAAGTTTATTCCTTATATTTGTCTCTCTTACCATGAAATTGTAGAAGAATAGAGTTGACTAATCATATTATATAAGAGATAATCTAATTTGACATTTAGAGTTTGTTTGAATTGGCTTAAAAAATAGCTTTTAAGTCAAAATATAAAGTTACATTGAAATAACTTTTAAGTCAAAAAACAAAAAGTAGGAGGAGGCCTACTTTTGATTTTTGTCTTATTTTAAGTCATTTTATATCTTGTCAAACACTCACCAACTTATTTTAAGTCATACTTGACTTATTTTAAATTAGTTTTTATACTTTTCAAACACTTTCAGAAATCAAAAACTGACTTTAAAATAGGTTTGATCAACATTTAAGTCAATTCAAACACCATCTCAATTAGATATTTAATAGATTTGAATATTTTTCTTAAGGTTAGTGATATGTTTATCTTTTTTGTATGAAATCTTTCGTGCTAGTAAATATGTTCACATTTGATTGACTAGCTTAGTTTTGTGTGTCGCACATGAATTGTATATCTATCAATAAAAAAAATTATGTGTAACAACAACTGACTTCAATATACATGAAATACTTATTTAAATAATAAATAAATATCATTAAGTTGATACAATATTTGAATTTTAAGTGATTGAATATCTTCCAAACCAGTCAAAACAGATATTGTAGTGAAGTTACTTATATAGTTTTTATAAACTATAGATATTTTATTGTAAAAGAAAAAAATTAATTATGTAGTGTTTTATCCAAATATCCAGTTGAATTATAAAAATGCATAAATACTTGAAAGCACTTTGGATACATCTGTTAAACTTGTGCACTTACCAATGAGTATAATTCAAAAAATATATTAAATGAAATATTATTAAATAATATATGCTAGTTATACAACAAAAAATATAAAGAATATTTAATTTCCTGAAAATGATAAAGATTTATGATATTCAATGAGCTCAAAAAAGAAAAACAAAATACATTACAAAAGTTTCCAATATTCAAATGTCATCGAAAAATAACATACATTACAAAAGTACTCACCGTTCAATATTATAAGTAGACTAATTATTGTTTTGTAGCAAGATATAAAATTCACTAAATACATAAAAATGATACGCAAAAGAATATTATATAAAAGAATAATTTCTAAATATTATAAGATGCTCAGTAATTTAAACAGGGGAAACAAAACTCTAATTAATACTAAAAAATAATTGAAATTAGTTTATCGAATTTGAAATATATATGGTTTTTACTAGGCAGCCTTTTATCATAAATATTAAAACTTCATATCTAGTTCAAATAAAGAATACAAACAATAACAATATATTTGGTGTGATTTATAAGTGAGATTAACAGAGATAGGGTTATTTAGATATTATTTCTATCTTTGTAGGGTAGAAAAGTTTTTATCGATAAATCATTAATGCAAAATAAATGTAATCAAAGTATCATAGAAAGAAAATAAGTCGACCACAAAATAGCTAGCTAGATAAACAAACAAATGAAGTAACATGTAATAATGAAAATTAGGTAAATAAGATAATATATGTACACTAATAACACTACAACACTCGGCCACCTATTATTCTTTTTACCTTTATATTAGGGTTATATCCTTAGTAAGTTGAAGAAGTGATACAGTGTGCCTAATTACTTCTTCACATGTACGTACCACCAGACTTGCTTTTTTAATTTTTTCCACTGCGGAATTCACTTCCACCTTGTCTTATATAACCTCATTCATAATCTTATCTCCTAGTATGTCTACTAATCTATTTGAGCATCCTCATCATGCTACCTTCATCTTCTAAACAACGCTTATATTTTTGACTGTTGGTCACTCTACTCATATAACAAAGTAGGTCTAACAACCACTCCTTAGAACTTGACTTTTAATCCATGGTGACATATCCTTATCACACAATGCCCTAGATATGGAACTCCATATCATTAATCCGATCCAATAATATATAATGCTTATGTGACATATTAATCATCAATCTCTCTATTTTCTTAGAATATAGACTCAACATATTAGGAATTCGTCTCTTAGGTATAATAATTACCAATTTTCACTTCCACAAACGCTTCATGCATCACATCTTGGGATGAACAAAACTATATCCAAAATGGAAGACACCTAAAAAGGATAAAAAGGCGGATGATATTCCATTAAGAACCTTCCCTATTGTGGTTGATACATTTGCTTTTTTTCAGGAACTCAATAAATTTAGCTTGAGAAAGAAATCCGAGACAATTTAGAGAGAGTTATGGCATTTCGAACATTATAATATGACCCCACTGATTCAATCAAACTAGGGTTGTAATGTGCCCTTCTTGTTATGATTATCTATATAAACTAATGTAACTTATGACTTGCATCTTGGAGAGTGATATATAGACCCTCAACTCATACGAAGCATATAAATAATAATAATAATAATAATAATAATAATAGAGAAAAAAACAATATCAATCACAAACAGTACAATAATCAAAGCAAGGGGAGATGCCACATCACATATCGTCATATATATATATATATATATATATATATATATATATATATGAGTTCACAAGAGTTAAGAGTTTCAGCAAACTGCAAAACTCAACTAGGTAACAGAAAATACATAGGTTTAGGTAACAGAATTACGAAAACTATTATGTTTGAAGTGTGCATGTGATGGACCAAGGAAACGGTGCAAGCCAGAAATTACATAGCTTCAATCATCTTCCTCATCTTCATCCTCTTCGTCTTCATCGTCCTCTTCCTCGCCCTAAGGATTATCAAGCACTAGTAAATCTGATAGAAAAATAACGCAGCTACTATAACAAATGAGTCTACTTGAAACAAAGAACTCTTGTTCCCAAATTAAAGTAGCATAGCACTTACGGTAATAGATCGAAGTCCCGTATGAGGATAACGTATAAAGGTTTACACATCAATTAACTAGCTTCATAATAGGTAAGGCACTATATTTCTTGCCTTATCAAAAGTTTATTGAGCAGATGATCAAATCACAAAACTCAAATCAACTCTGTTACGAATTTGGCAATAATTTTGTCGAAAACCACCAGCATCTATACTTGCCTTTTAAGGCACAAGTTCTAGTTTTCAATGTCCCTCGGACTATACAAGTTCCATTTTGGATCAAGCATTAACATCCAAAGTTTAACATTTAATATCGGCTTCCTCGGCCTTTTTGCGACCAAAAGTGCACTTCTGCATCATTAAGGACAAAAAGGGCATCCCCCCTCCCCGCCACCAAGAAAAGGGCCTAATGAAATGACTAGAATGATCAGTGAAACTATTCTCTAACATCCTTAAGGATGGGAGAACTGTGAGCCAACTACACTCTCGTTTTAACACCCCCAAAGAAGGGGAGCAACCCTGAGCCACAACAGTCTTGTCAACACAAATATAAATCTATTAGATGCATTTATGCAAGCATCGAGTCAATTAAAAAACACACTAGAATTTCGTAAGCTATTAGTACCTGTCCACTGTCCTCCGCATCTTCATCATGTACCTCAGGCTTTGACCTTTTCTCTTTTTCTTCTTCTTTTTCTTCTTCGTCCTCATCATCTGAGCTTTCCACCTAATTCCATTAATGAAGTGAGAAGAAAGAAGCCTCTCTTTCCAGCTCAAAAATCATACAAATTTAAACAAAAAACAGATTATAGGAAGCTTACCTGCTTATTGTTATAAGCATTCATGAGTTTTCCATACTCTGCCTTCCTTTTTGCAGCTTTGGCTTCATATGGTGATTTTTCCTTTCACCAAGTAGAACCAAACTTATAAGTGACTCATTACATTAAATATGTAGATTTTGTCCCATAAAAAGAAAGTTACGAATCCATATCAATCTTCAGCAAAATTATTTAACTTGCATAACAATATAACAATGTGGTGTGCATAAAATGGTCATTATGCCAAATTCTTTACTTGGATCACTAACTTATAGGAGATGAAGAATACTTACAGCTGCACTCAAAGATTTCCACTTTTCTCCTCCAGCTTTCCCGACCTTTAGATATAAAATTAACAATTTCTCAGGACAATTATTAAATGAAGCAATGCTAATGAAATAATCAAAGCTTACAGCAGAAACAGCCTTCACATTAGGATTCTCCTTTTTAAATGTCTTCCTGAATTCCTCACTGCAATAGCATGAATGATCATTTGTCGGTTACAGAACATAACTATTAACATGCAACTAAATATAGTTAATTATAAAAAGAAAACGAAGCCCCTACAGGAATACGAAAAAGGCACTGGGAGGCCTCTTAGGCTTATTGGGATCTTTCTTTGCCTTTTTATCCTTTGTGACCTTCTTTTTGGCGTCCTTCAACGTGGCTTTTCTCTTCCCCATCTTTCTGAAAATAAGAGAGACAAACATGATCTGTCACTAAAAAAATATGCCTTTTTATCACTATGCTACAACATACTGTCAAAACTAAAATCCAAGAAACTCCATTTCCGTATCCCAAATGTAGTATCAGCTAATATTTGAGTAAGATCTATGCAGCACTAAAACTACTCACATATAAAGCCAGAATAACAAACAAACTTTAAAATGCTACTCACCGGTCCTCAACAGGCTTCAACGCCGACCTTGTTTCTTTTCTCAATGCACCTTTTCCTTTTCCACCCTTCATTGAAACTTAAAACTGCCTAATCGAAAAAATCAGCCCAAAGTCAAAACCCCATCAATGTGCATTTTTATATTTGAACAGTGTGATAAAAGTTGGTAAGTTACAATCCTTTCCAATATAAAAGAACCAATACACAAGCCGATATGAACGGCGCCAAATAAAAACATGAATGATGCTCATTGTGCACAAAAAGCACAACAAGTAGTTGTCGTACACTCTATTCGGATGTC